TCTTACACATATCTACAAACAGATCTTTATAAATAGTTTCATTCTTAGTCTGAAACCCATCCCAACAAAAAAAAAAGACAGCTCGGGTTACGTCTAGGGTAAATAAATCACATGGCACTGCAGATATCGGGATTTTTTTAGACCCTCTTTGATCTCGGAGGAGTCCCGGGGGCGAAAAGGGAGCCTTGGACTGGCTGAGCCATAGGATCAAACTTTTGGGAGGCGAGGTAAGTGAGTGCAGTGACAACATCAGCAATGAGAGGTCTTAGATTTGGCTGCTCTTGCACGCACATTGCCGCTACAGCGAGTGCTTGGTACAATCCTCTCGGAGGGTATTGACCTTGAAGCAACGGATCAGCCATTTGAGAGAATTTCCTCCTGTCTTTAAACAAAGGCCTCGCCTGATACAGAGCATTTCATAGAATACGATTAGAATGAAGAATCTACAGAGAAAACAAAAGTTTGTTCCATTCTTTTTCTTACCCAAGCGACCAGATTCTGTTCTCCAGTAGATCTTGAATTGTCTATCGCTTTCCTACCGGTTATAATTTCCAAAAGAACAACCCCAAAGCTGTAAACGTCTGATTTGAGTGTTAGTTGGCCAGTCATTGCATACTCAGGAGCACAGTATCCGTATGTTCCCATAACCCGAGTCGACACATGTGACTTGTCACCCACTGGGCCAAGTTTAGCCAACCCAAAGTCAGATAGCTTCGGGAAGTAGTCACCACCAAGTAAAATATTGGAGCATTTCAAATCTCGATAGATCACTGGAGGCATGGTTTTGTCATGCAGATACTCCAACCCTTTGGCAGCACCTGCAGCTATTTTCATTCTGGTGTTCCAATCAAGTGGCTGCTTACCAGGTGAAATGTCTGGAGAAAAAAGAATCGCCCGTTGAAATTCATAGACTTTTCCTCAGAACATTAACAGATCATCCAAATGAATTCATAGACATGTGACCTTAGAAGCGCATACCGTGTAAATGGTCTTCCAGTGACCCAAGAGGCATGTACTCATACACTAGAAGTCTTTGATCTCCATCAGCACAATATCCAATTAGGTTAACAAGATTCGGGTGATGAAGAAGACTCAACATCAGAACCTCAACGAGGAATTCTCTGTTTCCTTGTAAACCATTATGATCAAGTTGTTTGATAGCCGCTGTCTACAAACGAAGAATTATGTCAGTGAGCTTTCACTATCAAAAACATTAACAAGGTTTAAACCAGAGTATCAACGAGAAAAAAATAAACAAACCTGACTGGTACTCGCTAAGTATCCTTTGTAAACTCTACCAAAACCTCCTTCCCCTATAAGACATTCTTTCCTAAAGTTTCTAGTGGCAGTAGCTAGCTCAGAGAATGTAAATGTTTGTGCCACAATGTGATCAGACCTTTTGCTTTTGGATTCACTCTTTTCACTCACAGACGATTTCGCCTTCGATTTCTCTACCAAAAAGTAAACCGAGCATTAGAAATGATTAATCAGCACAAGCTGAGCACAACAGTCTCAAGAACAATGCTTTAACATCACAGGATCAACAAAACCAAACAAATCAAAGTATTATAATTATCATTAAAAACAAAGGATCTAACAATAAGAATCTTCTAGAGGCAAGAATCAAAGTCATAACCTTTGAAGCTAAAAGGCCTTAAATAGTAACAATCCCAATTTAGGCAATTACATTTAAACTACAGGGAGACACTACCAAATACAGAGCTCAAGAAAAGCAATCATGTGACTCCTAAATTAGTAAAAAACAACAGAAAAATCCTGAATTTCAGATTTCAGTTCATTAAAATTCATCAAAATAGCTTAATCCACAACTTCAAACAAGACTAGTCCACTTAATCTATGATGTAACAATAAACCGGAAAAAAAAAACATGCAACAATACACCATTTTTAAGCCAAGATACTTCAAACTGAAACAGAGATAGACTCAAAATCGCAGGAACAAAAACAAAAGTCAAAAACCCTAATCAGCATTAGCAAAACGGTAGCTCAATGGAATCAGACAGCCAAGTAATGATAAAAAGCTTACAACTTTCCAGAATTTTGGTAAGAGAAAGCTCAAACCCAGAATCGAAGGATGTAATAACTGAGCATCGGTCTATTACCTGAAGTAGACAAAGAGCAATTCCTGCTCAGCTTTTCGTCACTGTTCCTCCTTGTCTTAGTCTTCCCACTCGATTTCCCAGAACACGGAATCCAACCCATTTG